TTCCCATGTGCTTCTCTAGGTCTGGTCTCAGGAATTTAAAAAACAAACTATTTGTATTATAAACTCTTGCTGTTATAATAGACACTTTTGAGAGTTTTTTAGCTGAGTGGAATCCAGGACTACAGCAGTGAAATAAAAATAGAAACAGAGGTGATGATTTCTTACACATTTAGCAGGTTGGACTTTGCAAAACACTTTCACAGTGTTTGGTTGGTCCCTCATAGCTCAGAAAGAGAAAGGGGAGGACAGCCAGTGAGCCCTCCTCCTGTTTGAGGGCCAAATTGTGATAATTATCCAGTGTAATCTTTAAAACTTTGAATCGCTATATTGTACACCTGAAATTTGTATTGTTAATTAACTGTACCTCAGTTTAAAAAAGAAGAGATGATTATCCATATATGGCTGGGACCTGCAGTCTGGATCCTCTTTGGAACCCTTGGTTGCAAGGATATTCTTGCGTGTGAAATGCAATGAGATTTCATGTGGCATTTATGAATGTTGTTGGTTATAGGAAGATGTTCTGAGTTTACTGGAAACCTTCCAGTTGAGCACAAGGCTGCTTCATCACCTGTGTGGGCATTCCAAGGTAAGAGGGAAAGCAGGTCACGTCACCACCCCACCTGTTGGTGTAATCTGCATTTGGGATTTGGAGATCCAGGGGCTCCAGTTCCTTCTTCCTTTTTTAGCCCTCTTGAGCCTTTGTTTCTAGGACGTGTCTGTCCAGAGGCAGTTTGTTCAGCATGGTCAAATCCTCAGCTGCTGGCTGAGATTGGGTAATCATCTAGAGGGGAATTTCTGCATCTGAAATTTGACTCAAACTCCATAGCCTCTTTCCTCTAGAAGCTCTTCTTGAGTGAGAGAATGTTGGTGGATGTGTTACTGCTACAAAGTACTCTGGGTAGGAGGAACATTATGTAAGTGATGACTGCTGGAGACAAGTGGTAGTTCTAAAAGCAGCAGTTTTTTGAGCTTTTCAGCTGGACTGCTTGTTTGTCAAGGAAGACATCTGTCTCTTACGAACATTTTAGCATTAAAGGATTTTTCCACTTGAAGCCTACAGTTGAACTGTTGTCACTTTTTGTCTGAGGAACACAGAACCACGGAGTTCTGCCGTCCCCACAAACCAGTGGTTCTTCCACCCACTTCCCATTGTTCACTTCCTCCCCTGGTTCTAACTTTTCAAGGTGCTTAACAGTGGAATTTAAAGGGTTTTTCTCAGCTAAGCAGGGTTACTGTCTGTTATTTAAGATTAGTATATGTTTAAGAATATTTTAGGCAAATTCATTGATAACTGCTCAATAAGAGGTTATGAAGAGCAACTGAGAGGTGTTGGTAGCATGTCTTCTAGGCTCTTTTAGCTTGAAGGACAGCTGCCATTCTCTTTAGAATACTCTGCCAGACAGCTGCCGTTGATGGGCTGTGTCTCTGGCCCATCTGGAAGGGCTCATGCTCTTGTACAGCGTTCTAGGTGTCAGGAATTTAGAAGTTTCCATACAGGAAATGTGAAAGCATCATAATAAACTCAGATGAATTGAGTGCATTTGTTTCCATTCAGATTCACCAGGACATGAAACTCACCAAACACGTGCCTTTCCTCAAAAAGACCCTGGAGCTGTTGGTTTGCAGAGTGAAAGCCATGCTCATCTTCAACAACTGCCGAGAGGCTTTCTGGCTGGGCAACCTGAAAAACCGGGACTTGCAGGTAAGCCTGGGGCCCCGCCAGTCGTAACCTCCTACCCCCATTCTTCGTGAGAGTGTTGGAAAGTATGCAAGGGAGGTCACCTAAGCCCCACTACCTCAGTACTCAGAACTGCTTTTCTCTTAAGTCTTTGACTGTTTAGCTCTTAAAGTGAGAATACATTGCTTTTGGGCCCCAGTTGCAGGCTGTACTCCTCATTCCAGACAGTGAAGGCACCAAAACATACCACTGGTATAAGCAAGACCTCAGACATGGAGGAGCCAGATCAGAAAACCTTCCACAGCTAGGTTGTTACCTTTAAGTCCTACTGAGGGCAGATTCAGAATATTTTTGTATATGGAAAACCTTTTTTTGTTTGTTTAGTTATTTGGTTGTTTTTTCCCCCCCAATCAGTATGTCTTATTCCTGAAATTATTCTCTGGTTAATTTTAACAAATGAGCATTTCTTAGTTCTCTCAATTGTCCGACTGACTGGAATCTCATATTGCTTATACTACTATCTTGGAGTTAGAGCATTTTTCAAATAAGGTCCAAGCCCTTCTCATTCATGCTTACAGTATCTGAGTCTTGTAATCTTATATATGAGAATGGCACCCCAGAGAATTACCGTCCTTTCCTCTCATCGACATTATGATGTAGATACTGTTGTTCCTGTGAGAAAATTGAAGCTCAGAGAAGTTAAATAACTTACCTAAAGTCATTCAGCAGTAAGTACACAGAGCCAGGGTTTGAGTCCACACACTCCTGATCCAGACTTGATGTTCTTAAACCACTTAAGTGTACTGTCAGCCTCTACCTGGCCGTCTGTGTTGGTGTGTTGGTGTGTTGGTGCTCATGCTCATGTACCTTAAGGTACTTGGGAGATTTTAGAACAATACTCAGCATTAATGAAAGATTCACCAGCACAATCTGGCCCATAAAACTAGTACGATATTAGAATAGAAAGATGAATCTTTTGTAAAACCACATACTGTGTCAGAGCCTCATATCTCAGAGACCTTGGGTTATCAGTTCTCTAGATTCTGGATCACAGGTTGGTGTCTGTTAGACCATATTTGAATGAGTGAATATCTTCTTTTGCCTTGCCTGTAAACCAAGCTTCCCCTTGAGAGACCGCAAATGTGATCATGATAAGCCACCATTTGTCTTGGCCCATTCCCATTCAGGGTGAAGAGATTATATCCCAGAGTTCCCAGGAGAGCACAGCAGATGAGAACGAGGACGATACCTCATCCCAGGCCTCCAAGAGCAAAGCAACAGAGGTTTGTCTGCAGAAGCACCTGAGTGGCATTGATGGTTGCGTTTTGTTAATTATCTGAGTTGGTAGAGAGTGCAGAACCTTCCCTGCTTGAGTTTATAATCAAATACTTCTATGTCAATCTCCATTCCCTTAAAAAAACTGTGCTTACATGCATTCTGTGAGGGCCAGGAGATTGAGTATGTCCAATACAAATGTCAAAGTCAAAGCGCAGATTCAAAAGGTGCCACCTCTGAGGACTGAATAAGAGTAAGAGTCCTTATTCTGTCTGGGCTACTGCCAATGCTTTTGAGACTTTAAAGAAAGCTAAAGAAAAATGTATATATTTATAAAAGTTTGTTGTAATTCAGGTGGGTTATGGATACAGAGAAGCCCAGGTTTAAGAACCCCTGCTGTGGAGCCTCTCTGAAATGCAATTTGAGACTGATGCAGAAAGATGATTCAGTATGAAAAATTCTTTTATTACATGGTTGTCTGTAACAAACATTTCTATTTTGAACATGCACTCTATTCCTATGTCACATACATGCAGTAGAGCTGAAGGGCATGGCTTATTAAAAAAACCATGCAAATTTGGTTCTGTTGTAGAATGTCCTAAGTCAGCATCGGAATGGCTTCCTCCATCATCTTGGTTTAGAAACCATGATACAAAAACAACAGGGGAGCCTCATGCATTTTTCAAAAGAATGGTTTAAAACCTATCACTGGTTTTAGCAATGATACAGTGCAGTCATATGTGCTATAGGAGCAGTATTGCAAGTCATGGGGTCGCCCCGATGACCTGAAATATCCTTTGCCCCTTAGGATGGTGAAGAAGATGAAGCAAGTGATGGAGAAGAGGAGGAGAGTGATGACAGTGATGATGACTCTGATTAGACCACAGACAGACTGATGCTCTCTCCCCATCTCTGCCAGCCTCTTAACCATTTTGTGTTCAGTGTTCGAAATCTGCGGTCTGCCTTTGTAATTGGATGCATCCTGTTTTGTCCTTATTGAGGGATTTTTGTTGAATCAGTGTAATTGTGGATTTTACAGACTGTCTGCTTACGTCGAATCCACATGTAGCGTTACTTAACAGTTTGGGTGAACGTGGCAGAGCCGTGCTGCAGAGTAGTCAGGATTCTGGGCTTTGGGAGAGTTTTGAAACTCTGACTTACTCTAGAATTTAGGTTTATACTAGTTTAACCAATAAATCTTGTTTTAAGTTCTGCCTCAGCTACCTCGTTCCTCTTCAAATTTCGTTACTCAAGGATTTGATGGGTTTGTGCAGAGAATTAATGGAGACTGGTCAACACGTCAGTTCTGCCACTTAAAATCATATGTTCTCTATTACAAGGACTGTCTTATTTGAGATGAGATCTTTGTATCTTTTTGGAGGAGGGATGAATTTCTTTCAATGCCCGAAGAAAGTCAAAAGGAATATTTGGCTGCTTTTTAAATGTTTGATGGTCATGTAGATGTAGACAGAGGAGAAAAAGGCAGCATCAACCTCATGTTAACTTTGCATACATTGTTTTGTTTCCACATTATTCTGAGTTATGCCTGTGATCTACTTACAGGAATGTGCAAAGTTACTTGCACTTTTTTAGAAATAGACAGTTAGGAGTACAATTCAGCTAAAATGGAGAACTCTCATGTCTTCTGCCAGAAAGCCCAGTTTCATTGCTGCTACCAAGTTCTTTCTTGCCAGGCTGTAAATATTTAATAATTGTTAATATTTTTACCCACTTTTGTACTCTCCGGTAGTATTAGGGTGTAGTTGATTAGATTTTTATGTTCTTGTTATGGTGGGGGAGGGTTTTTTTTAATTAATCCTTGACCCACATACAGATTTTTGACCCCTCCATCCTCATGTACATAGAAGTCCATAATCTCCTTCCTTGACACCCTGTTTCCCCAACCCATTGTGGTCTTCGGTGTTTAAATGAGTTCACACTAGACTCATGGGTTTATATGGTTTGTTTAATGGTTAGTTATCAATGTATATGTCAGTGCTAGTTTGACTCTTTTAAACGGTTGTTCAGCTTTACAATGGAAACGTTCTCCCTTGCTCTGTCACTGGCCCTGTTTTGGAGGGGAAGGGAGGAGAGGGGCTCCTGAATTGTCACTGCTTGACGGAAAAGCAACAAGGCTGAGGCGAACACAGTTCCCTTTACATGGACAGGTCTATGTGAGCTTCAGGCGCATAGAAAAGGCATGGTGTGAGGCATAGGGACAAGACGGGGACCCTTTACTTGGAGTGCTGCAAGGCGAAGGTGCACTTCTTGTACGTCGCATACAGCAAGAGGATGGAGCGCAACATCTGTTTGCACATGGTCACTGTCATCTGAATCTGAGGCTCCTTCAGTCCCATGGGCCACTGGTGCTCCCGGCTGATGATTTTGCAAAAGGCTGACTTGTCTGAAACTCTGAAGGTCCCAGTCCACTTTGGTGGCTGAGCCGTGATGACCCTGCCAAAGACAGAATCCACTCCACTGAGGCGGACAGGCTGGGGCTTCCTGACCAGCCCTTTCTTGTTGTTCATGGCTCGGAGCTCTGATGTGTGGCAGGGTAACTTGGGACTCACCCCAGCCTCCAGGAATGAGCTGTCTAGGACTAGAGTGACCTCTTGAAAGCACAGCTGCACTTCAAGGTCAGAAGGGGTGTGTGGGAAGCAGGGGGAAGCCCTGAAGGGGTGCTTGGAAGAAGGTGTAGGTGTTGTGTGTCGCAGCCATTGGAAGCTCTCATCCAGTGGGGTCCATGGTGACCAAAGCTGGTATCCTGCCATTGACAGTCCTAGAGGAGAGGAATCAGAACATGGAATTGCCCTAGCATGATTCACATCTGGTCTCATTATTGACTTCAACTTACTCTAGTTCTTGTGAACAGATTCCAGGAGATACTAGGATACTAGTAATTCTACAAAGGGCAGTAGAGGATGGTAACAAGTATTGAATCTGGCAACTGCTGTGTGTAGTAAAACTTTATTCAACCTTATCACAAGCCTCCGAAGGTAGGTTTTATCTCATTTTACAGATGAGGAAATGGATTTGTCCAAAATGGAGTACCCCTGTTTAGCATTAGGATCTATGCTGTGTTTTGTATCAGTGCCACAAACAGAATCTGTACCTCTCAGGTGGCAGAGGATGCTGACACTTCAGGATGAGACATTATTTGTGGATAGGTGCTCAAAAAAGGCGTCTCTTGCCAAATATTTATGACTCTAAATGCTTTATACTGTTGGTTCTCAAACTATGATCCTGGGACTAAGACCATAAGCATCATCTAGGAACACGGAAGAAACGAAAATTTTCGGGCCCCACCTCAGACCTATAGAATCATAAACTCTGGGAGAAGGGCCCTGCGTTCTGCATTTAAACAAACCCTCCAGGGGACTCTGATGTACCTTATAGTTTGAGAACTTCTTATGCTGTTCTTTTGAGGAACTTCAGCTAGCTCTTACTATTCTTAATTATGTGACAGTCTCCTCTTGGCCCTAAACATCTCTTTTCGGACACAAGGGAGCCGTTCTCTCAGAGCCCCTGAGCTACTTACGTACCACTTCAGAGGAAATACACCAGGTTGAGAGGGGAAGTTTCAAAAGGCCAGTCTTTAAAAGTTTTAAAAATTTTATCTGGTTCTAGGTGACTTGGTTCTATTTTTTTTTCTTATCTATGGAAGATGCCTGGTTAAGAACTTGATTTTTTTTCCCTTTTGAAGATACAGGAAAGGGCTGGGAGGATGTTGCTAACTCAAAATTTATCGAGGTAGAATTTAGACTATCTTTCTACTTTAAAATTGCCAGGACATAAAGAGTTTTACTGAATTCAAGAGAAGCTAACGTATTTTGAACACCTACCTATTACGTTAAAGGGTATAGCAGATCCCTTTTCTTTCCAGCCAAATGTATTTCTCTGCCCCTTCTCTCTTCTCCCACAAAGGTAGCAGCAGAGCTGATCCCATCCCATCATTTGCCCAGGAAATGCTATGAAAAGTTGATGCCTCCACCATAGTTTGTGAGACAGTAAAGTTCATTATTGACAAAGAATTGTTAGTGACGTTTCAAACCAGAAGACCTGCCTCTGACAGTATAAAGGAGATTTGTTGATTTCCTCCAACTGGTATGTTTCTCCTGATCTGTGCATGCCCTCTTGCATACTGTATTCAAGTATCTGTGCTGCCTTAGGATGAGAAATTGACAACCAAGGGATGTTTATTCCAAACAGCCTATGAAAGGCTTCTGGTGCTTGATATTATGATCCTAGAAGCCTGCTCCAGGATCAGAGCTGCTTTGGTACACCACCAAGGCAAGGTGGGGGCAAAGGGTGTTAACTCCTCTAAGCATATAACTAAAAAAAAATTTATCCCAGGAGACTTTCCTCACTTCTCTCCTAAGAGGAAATATGGCCACAGGGAAAAGGCTTTATTAAATATCCAGCTTAAATATTCCACAGAACCAACATGGGATGACAGAGGGTTTCTGACTTCAGGTCTTCCCACCCCTTTCACACAAGGTTCAAATAATGGTTCACTCCCAATTCCCACCACCCATAAATCATCTAATCTACTCCAGGAGGGGTTGAACCAAGGAAGTCTGTTCAAGCTGCCAGATAGGGAACACCTAGTTCTGGCCACAACGTTTTCCCCTTCATACCATTCCTCCTGTTTCAAGGAATTGGGTCCCTTGATTGCCCCACCTGGGAAAGGGGGAGGCCGTGTCAAAGTGCAGCTGAGGTCCTCGTGAACAGAACTGCGACCCCCGAGGCGCTGGAGCTGCCCTGAGTGGGGGAAGCTCCCCCTCCCAGCCTGAAGAGGGGCTTGTCCTCCGGGGGTTCCTACTCCTCGGGGGCAGGGGCCAGACAGCTCTGGCCGAGGCGGAGGTAGCAGTGAGAGCCCGGGCCTGGTCCCACCGTCTGGGCCGGGAGCTCACCTGCTGAACTCCGCGGGCCTCACGCTCCAGAGTGGCGGCCGTGGTTCCCGGGCCACATTTTTTTCTCCACCGGCGCCTGGCAACCGCCTTTGTGACCCAGGACCCAGGACCGCCGGGGAGCCCGGACCGCCGCGGGGGGAGGGGAAGAAGCCGAATGGGGTGCTCGAGGAGCCCCGAAGGGAGCCCCCACCTCCTTGGAACACCGGGTCTAAGACTCAGCCTTCAGGAATGCTGGTTTGACACCCATCGCCTGTTACCCTCCACCTACTCCCCAGCTCGCCACCGTGGTGTGCCTTTGATATAATCGAAGAAGATGGATGCCCCCACTTCAAAGACTGGCCAGGAACCTGAATAAATGTCCCGGGAGCCGTAGTTGGTGTTAAAAGGTGAGCTGTACTCTTTAAACCCTGCTCTGGGTATTCAGGCTAAGTTACCCAGAGTTCTGAAGGCTTTTTGTTGCTGCACTGAAATGATCCCAGTCAGGAGACAGTTTATAAATGCTCACTTTTCAAGAGCAAGAGGAAGATACATCTCCCCTTGACTTCCTGACCAAAAACTCTGCTTTCTGTTAAACTCAAAAAGGATGATTCTCTCCCATTCTCACAAAGCTGAAAAACTGACACCTTCACCTTAATAAAAGAGTGATTTGACAACTTTTAAATCTCACTGCAAACAGTTACCCTGGAAGGCTGGAAGAAGAGAGGTCTACCCAGTTGATTCCTATATCCACAGTGCCCAACTATGATTAAAAATTGTTGGATAGAGGGCTTCATGCTGTTATGACAACCTGCACGACAGTTCTCTGTGCGGTCTGCCCAGCACTAAGGAATGTATTGCCAGAAGTACTGTTTGCCATCACCTCCAAGTCTGGTTGATACTCCACCTCTGTGGCTACCATACCTTATGGGAAGTCAGAATTTCCCATACTGCCTGTTACTGATGACCTACAACATCAACTTGGTCTGTATCATGCAGTGCTCAACATTCTGGTTGCACCATCCAGGGGTTCTTGTGAAAATAGATACATTTGCTCTGCTAAGGGTCCATTTAGTGTTTTCGAAGTAACCAGCAACATTGCCATGGTGCACACGTGATATCTGTATCTGCACAAATGATGGTCCAAGTACACTTGACTGCAAAGGAGGGTCAAATTACCACACAATGCAATTGACACATTTCTTCAAGAATCTGATTTCACGCTGATTGTTCTACCTGGAGCCATTGACAAGATCTCCAAGTTCTGTGAAACAAGTGACAGACTCAGAGACAGGGACCTGTCTCCCCTATGCTGAGGCAGTCTCTCCCTGGAAGCATTCCTTGTTGCACCAGCAGCATTCCTGAAGCTTGTCTTTGTAGCCCTGCATCATGCATTGGGAAGAATTTCTATAGTGAAGAACTACCACGGTGGCAAACCCGTAACCGGAGGACTGAAGGGCAGAGAGCCTTCTGGATGCCTAGGTTCAATATTCAGGATCGATACTTATTATTATTTTAGAAACCCTTTATATGACAATGTAGGGGAGCTCAGATAGATTTTTAACCTGTTTTCAGAGTGGTATAGTGAAAAGATAATAGAGTCTGGAATCAGCTGGTTAAGGTCCACCACTTAATGGCTTTGTGATCTTGAAATTCAGTTTTCTCATCTGTGAAATGGGAAACCTCTTCCTCACTTCCTTCCACAGGATTTGTGAGGATCCAGTAAGGTAACAGCTATTAAAGCAGCTTTATAGCTTGTAAGGTTTTCTACCAAAGTAAAGGTCTGTTAGTAATTGTTTCTTCCCAGCTACTGCTAGAAGAAATCTAACTATTCAGAGATAAAAGGCATTTACTGCACAAACCAGATTGTAAATATTCCCTGAAACAAAAATAAAATTGTCCATTATTCCACTACCTTAAGAAACCAGACAGTGACATTTTTTGGTATATCTTTCTTGTCCACAAGCAGACAATTTTTGCCTAGTTGCAATTTAAAGAAAATTTTGTATTTTGTTTTCTCTTTCAAATTATGACAGGTGTTGTGTTGCCATAGTGTTTGTTCATAATTAGCATAATACTGCTCTGAGTGGCTATACCCCCATTCCCCATTAGCCATTCCCCAACTGTTGAGATTTAGTTATTTTAAAAAAAATAGACAATGCTACATTTTTTTTCTTTTTCAATGATTTCCTTAATTAAATATTTAGGTCAAAAGGTTTTCAATTTTTTACAGCTCTTGCTAGCAATTTATAAATTGCCTTCTGAAGGGATGATGCCCGTTTACAGTGTAACCAGCCATTTACAAGTTTATCAATTTCCCCTCAGCGTTTTCGTAACTAAGTATTATAGATAAAAAAAAGTTTTGTTCATTTGATAAATGCAAGGTTGGATATCACGTCACGTTGTTAAAAGGCATTTGTTTAATAATTTGTGTTTAATGTGATTTAGTCGTCTACGCCCAGATTATCTTGGACACAGACCGCATTCGTTTGGAACACCTGTGGGAAGGGGTGTTGCGTGACCACGCGCCCCCTAACGACCATAACAGTCAGTGACGGAGGTGAGTGGTGGGTGGGAGATCTTGGCACGTGCGCGCTCCATTCTCCCAGCCGACGTTAAAGCCATGGTTTTCACGAGCGTGGGAGCTCAGCGGAGACGCCGCCGAGGATGTGACAGTGCGCAGGCGCACCACAAGTGCCGTGGATTCGTGGGTGCCGAGGCTGGGTGTGGGCCGGCGGCGCAGGCGCACTGGCGGCCTGGAGGGTCGAGGCGCATGCGCAGTCGCTCTTCCTTAGGCAGCAGCCATGGCGGGACAAGAGGACCCGGTGCAGCGGGAGATTCACCAGGACTGGGCGAACCGGGAGTACATTGAGGTCATCACCAGCAGCATCAAGAAAATCGCAGACTTTCTCAACTCGTTCGGTCAGCGGGCGAGCAGGGGGAGGCGGGGAGGAGGGAGGCCCTCTGAGGGAGGGCACTGAGAAGCTTTGAAGGGAACTCTCGGGAGCCCTGGGCTCCTGCCGGTTTTCGTTTCCTCCTTCAGGCCGCACCTTCCCCCTCTCGCCCTGACCCTCGGGCTCCACTGGGAGGCCCTCTGGGGTTATCCTGCTCCAGGCTGAACTCCTCGGCTTCTTTGCCATCACCCCGGATCCATTAACAAGCTCTTCCTTTTCCCAGACACGTCAGGCAGCCGCATCTACCCTTGGTTTCTTCTCTTGCCTTTAATCTGTCCCTTCCTCCTCTGGGTTCCGCTTCCAGTCCTCACTTGGCGCTCAGAGTGCACCTTCCAGAGCGCAGCATGGCCGTGTCACTGCCCTGTAAAGACTTGAAGGTCCCCCATCTCCCTCAGGCTTCAGTCGAAACCCTTTAGCGCCTTGCCTTTTAGTGGCCCCTTCGGCCGCTCTCCCATTGGTCCCTTCCCGTCTCTGTGTGTGCGGTGCTGAGAGCGGTAGGAGGTGAGGGGCAGAGTGAGGGCCAAATCGTGTCAGGCCGTGGAGATCTCTGCATTGCTAGTGTCTGATCTAGCTGACATTAGGTGTTCTGTCTGCTTCTAGCAAAATCTTTTCTAGGCATGGCCTGCTCGTGACAATCTGAAATTCTTTCCGCGTTATTCCATGTCCTTCTGGACAGCAAGCCGGGAGCTGACTCCTACTTAGGTTCTTCAGGAGTTTCTTTGAGAGAACTGGGCATAAGGTAGACCTTCTTATGCCATCGCAAGGTATGGGGATACGTCTAGTGATCTTTTTCCAACCGGTGTGCTTCTGTTCCACCAATTCAGCAACATTAAGCAATTAAGATTAAGTAGGGGAATGTAAAACAACAAGTTTCTACTGTATAGCACAGGGAACTATATTCAATGTCTCGTAGTAACCTATAGTGAAAAAGAATATGAAAAGGAATATATGTATATATGTATGACTGAAACATGCTGTACACCGGAAATTGACACATTGTAAACTGGCTATACTTCAGTTTAAAAAAACGGGAAAAAAAGATTAGGGGAAATGGATGTACAAGAAAAGCTTTAAAAAGGAATTATTTTCTAGCTAGAGAACTGGTAAGTCTGACATAAAGGTAACAGAACAAGTTTTGTCAGAAAGCATAAATAAGAGAAAAAAAGTAGATCAGAGTACAAGGCTGTCTCAGGCACCGTCGGGGACACAGAATAAGAACCACTTCCTACATGTAAAGAATTTCTATGTTGAAGGTGAAATAGTGAAAGCTTTAGAACAAAGCAGAAAACTGTTTATGTCTTAATATATTTACATACAAGTTGTGTAGGGCTAATCTTGATGTGTCTTGGTAGGGTGGATTTCCTCGGGATGGGGGTGAGGGTAGTATTAATGAAGACTGACAACATCACGATACAGGAGTTTATTAGACAAAGACCACCAGGCTGAGGAACTGGATAAATCATAAGGATAGACTTGAGTACACTGTCTTGACATTGGATGACTCAGGATGAGCGAGTGTGGGATGTGTTTTCCCATTCTAAGCCCTCAGCATGGCTCCTGAGTTCTGACGTGTTTCTGGAATGCTTGGTTGTGTTGATGATGGTGCGGAGATTTGATAGGCATTTACTTTGAGGGGGCATCTGGAGCTCTTTGAAAATGGCAGCAATCCTACAATTCTCACCCTTACCACAGAGTCTGTGTAGGCCATGTGCTGTGGAGAGGGATCTGTTTTTCCAGGATACCCAGTGACTTTCCGAACAGCTTTTACCCTGCGATACCAGCTGGCGAGAGTAGCTCTTCGTGGTTTTCTCTTTCAGCGCTGGAGGACCACCTGAACCTGAGGACACACAGCTCATGATACAGCAATAACATCCCAACACTAGGCCTGTTCTGTACTTTGAACCGATGAAGTTTCTAAAAATGGATTGTTAGAGATGATGGCTTTTTGTTTTTACACCTTTTTTCCCCCGACTCTAAAGCTAAATAATATGTGCAGAGAAATGGAACCAAAAAAAAGTAAAAAAGAATGTGGCTGTTTTTAAATCTCAGTTTTCATACTTAGCCAACAAATAATAGCTTGCCTGTTGTGACTCCGGCTGTGTGTCAGATGCTGTGAGAAAGGAATAAATAAGAGTAAATGGACACAGTAAACACTCCTAAGAAATTCAGAATTTTGTTGGAGAAATAAACCCTGCAGAAACAATTTAAGAGAAAGACAGGGTTGATTTTTGTAGGTGAAGGTTGTGTGCAGAGTTAAGAGAGGGAGCTGTCTGGTAACTGGCATTTGTTAGCAGTGCTGGTGTGCGTACACCACCCAGCACCCAGCTGAGGACGGCTGGCATTTTCAGAATGAAATCTGGTGGTAATGTACATGTGAATGCGTCATGGTTTCAGGTTTGTCCAGCTGCTGAGTGCTTTCCCAGTGTGTTGTTTGAACCAGTACACATTTGATGGGCTCTGAAATATGACTGAAGTTTCTCGATTCAGCGTTTTATGTCTTCAACAGTGCTTATCCCCGTGTGCCCGTAGCCTAGTGTTGTTCTTGGGTTTTGATTCATCACGAGATCGACAGAGCTCGAACAGAACAGCCATCCAGGAAGGACCCCTCCCTCTCGCCACCCCACCCCTTCGTGTTGCTGTGTCTCTTGTTTATGGGAAATGACAGGTCGTCAGTGGTAACGTTCATGCCCTTACTGATAGCATATATGATGGGCCTTTGAGCTTCTAAAAACGAGACTGAAAGAGACTAGGTCCCGTTGGGCAGTCCTGGCAGTGGCAGTCTATTCAGGAAAAGGAGGGCACTGAAGTGCTTCTGCTCAGACTGGACCTGGGAATTAGAAGAAGCAGTACTAGTGGATTAAAAGCAAGATTAAATAGAAGGGGAACAATGTCCAGAAAAGGCAACTCTGCGTAGAAGAGGGAGAGTTCTGTCCAGCTGGCAACGACCTCTCGGAGGTCCAGCTTGAACTGAGCCTTAAAGGAGAGTGTTTAGACAGGCACAGTGAGTAAGATTTGGAGTTGACGAAATGAAATTGGAGGCAAGATCTGGGTTTGGAAGATCTGTTAAAAGGGTGCCAAAGCGCTTTTGCATAGCATCCAGGGAGGGGATGAAAAGGAAGGTTATGAGCTAAGTGTGAAATCACCGAGTAGGAGACTGTCTCGGAGAGCAGGTATTTTGAACTTGAGCAGTGAGGATTATTGAGAGATGACTGAACAACAGTTGGAGGAGGTAGTGGAAATAATTAGCAAGCCTGGAAACCTTTTTCTCCCGGATCTTGAGAACAGTTGGAGAAAGAGTAGTCAGGTGGTTTCTGTTAGAGTCGTTTGCAGGGGAAAAGGTATTTTAGAGGAAGTTCAGGTTTCCTTTTGGGTGAGATGGGAAAAGAGAATGGAAAGCGTAGAGGAAGAAAAGGAATTCTTTGCCGATAGAATGTGGGCTGCAAGGGGTATGTGATGTTCTCCGGGTTTTCTCTCCTTCTGGAAGGTCTGTGCAGGGTCTGATGACACATCAGGTACCCTCCTCCTGGAGCAGCAGTGGTGACGCGGCTTCTCTGGGCTCCGAAACACCACCCCTTCCCTCCTCCTCGGGGTCTGCTGCTTCCTTGGCCTCTGCTTTGCCTCCCCATCGAGATTTTCTTCCTCTTGTCATTTCCCCTCTTTTCAAACTCTTGGTTTGCCTATTAGCAAATGGCCATATGCACAGCCTTGGTGTATTAGTTTTCCATTTTATATTGCTGCTTTAACAAATCACCACAAATGTAGCAGCTTAAACCAAATGGATTTATTATCTTGCAGTTGTGTAGATCAGAAGCCCAACACTGGTTCACTGGCCGAAACCCTGGTGTCAGCAGAGCTGCCTTCCTTTCTGGAGGCTGTAGGAGAGGAGCTATTTCCTTGCTCATTACGTGGTTGGCAGAGCTCAGTTTCTTGTGGCTGTAAGACTGAGATCCCTGTTTCCTTGCTGGCTGTCAGCTGAGAGCCTTGCCCAGCTTCTGAAGGTCACTTGCATCCCTTGGTCTATGGCCACCTCCCTCCAACTCCAAAGCCAACAATGGCAGGTTGAGTCCCTCACACTTCAAATTGCCTCTCTTTTTGCCACCTTTCTTCTGACTTTCACGTCTACATTTACAGATTTGTGATTAGATGGGGCCCATCTGGATGATCCAGGATCTCAAGATCCTTAACTTAATCACACCTGCAGATCCCTTTACTGTGTAGGATACATCGTCGCAGGTTCTGGGGATTAGGGCATCTTTGGTGGGGGGCACTATTCTCTGCCTCCCACACTGGGCAGGAAGTTAAACAGATGCCCTCTAAGCAGCTGTGCTCCTAAGATACTTCTCACCTCATCGCCCCCCTCCCCTGCTGTGCCCACTCGCTCCCCTTTGTGCTCTGCGTGGTTTATCATCGCTCCTCTTCGTCTTCGGGGCTGTGTGTGTCTGTGTCTGGAACAACATCGATCCTGAACACCAGTCTTCTTTTACCAGATATGTCTTGCCGTTCAAGACTCGCAACACTAAACGAGAAATTGACAGCTCTTGAACGGAGAATAGAGTACATTGAAGCCAGGGTGAGTATGATGGGCGGGGGGCTTCCTTGTGAGGCAGGCAGTGGCCATGCAGGAGAGAACGCACACTTCACTTGTTGCTAACAAACCTTGGAAGGAGAAATAGGCTTAGAGAAGTTAGGCACCTTGCCTGGATTTAAACTTTCTGGTGGGACTCTGAAGCTGTCATCTTTTCTACCACTCCCAACTACTTAGCATATAAAATAAGACTTTTTTTAGGCCCCTCTAATCCCCTTTGTTTATTTTATTATTTTTATTTGGGGGGGAGGTAATTAGGTTTACTTATTCATTTATTTTTAGAGGAGTTTCTGGGGAATGAACCCAGGACCTTGTGTATGCTAAGCATGTGCTCTACCACTTGAGCTGTACCCTCTCCTCCCTCTCATCCTTTTGAATTTATCTAATTGTCAATTCTCCTTTGACAGGTGACAAAAGGTGAGACCCTCACCTAGAATCGTGCCACACTGCTGCTGGGAAGTTGCTTCTACAGAACACAGGCCCACGTGGGAAAAGCCCCAGCAGCCTTCAGCTCCTTCCTCTCTCCTTACAGAACAACAGGGCTTCTTCTTGTTTTTCTTTTTTTCAAAAATGTGGCCTTTGGGCTCTGCCATGTACACCCAGGAGCGTGAGGTGGCACGTTGGGAGGGGGCCAGGGGAACTCTCGGCAACGTTAGTCGTTTTTACCTTTTCGGAAACATTTTGCAGAACTACTTGTCAACATATTTGAGGCGCTAAGAGCCAAAAGCCTGAGACTGTCACGGTCCTCCCCACCTCTCTCTCTCCCTCTCTCAGCCTTTCTTTGCAGCTCTCATCGCCTCTGCATTAATTCTACAGTCTTTGTCTCCTCCCCACCTTTGGCCGGGGATGGGAAGCAGTCCTGGCTGAGACCC